CCTCCAGAAGAGTCCGGTTAAATTAGATTCAGGCGGAGTGGTTATTGAGCACAAACACTCCGAATCATTTACATGTTAATTATGCAGAATGGACGAGAGGCCACAATTAGCTGCTAATGGGGCCAGAGGGCTGTGACTGGCATTGTTGGCACCGACTGCTCACCTGCTTGGGGGCGAAGGAGGGGCATGTGGGTGGCTGCCGGGGAGCCCTCTGGGTCTCCAGTCTGGAGAGCCTGGCCCAGGGGTGGGCTCAGAGAGCCTGTGCCCCCAGGCAGACCCCCTGGACCTGGCTTCTAGGGGTTCCCATCCCGAACATCCTGGGGGGCGGGGGTCCTGGGAGGGCCCACAGCCCGGCCCGAGGGCGAGTCCCTGGGACTCGGGGCCTGTGTTGGCCTGGCCAGCGCTGGCGTCGAGGCCCCGGGGTCGGGGTCGGGGTCGGGGGTATGCCCAGCAGGGGGAAGCTGTGTGCAGACCTTTGGGGCTGCCCTGCCCCCAGCTCAGGGGCTGGCTCCTGGTCCGGTTGCAGGGCTGTGGCCAGGGCTGAGGCCTCCCGGCCGGCCGGCCGGCCACTCAGTAAAGCGGATGAGACTGGGAGCCGGGGGCCAGCCTGCCCGGGCCTTCCTCCGGGGCCCCTCGCCGCTGTCGGGGAGGGAGAAGGGCTGGGGGCCCCTCCCAGGGCCCCTGGGGGTCCAGGGGCCCTGGCCACACTCTGCCTCTCATGCCGTTGTCACGCTGCCGGCTCCTGCCGCCTCAGTGTCCCTCCTCAGAGGCGGGAGAGGACTGAGGCCCCGCCAGCACCCGCCTCGTTTCTTTTCAGCCGGGATTAGGGCTGCGCCAGCCCACGGGAGGTCGGAGGTCAGGGTGGGCCGCAGGGACCCGTCCCTCTCCCCGCAGCCGGGGGAGGGGCCTGTCAGTCAGCGCCCCTGCTTTGTGAGCGGTGACCAAGGGGGCGGCGCCCACCTCCCCCAGGGCCCCGTTCTGTGTCCGGGGACCGCAGCGGGGGCAGCGGGCCGGGCCGGGGTCCGAGGACCCGCCTCCCTGAAGCCAGGCAGCGTCAGCCGCCCCAGAGCTGCCCAGGGGCCGTGGCCGGTGTCCTGGCGGGACCAGGACCGGGACCTGGAGTGACCGTGGGGGGCGGGCGGGCGGGACCGGGGCCGGGGCCTGGAGTGGTGGTGGGGGGGGGCGGGCGGGGCTGCGGAAATGAGGTGTCTGATGCCAGAGCGGCTCTTCCTTCCCCGAGACGGGAAAGCCTTCCCGGATGCCGCCCACACAACCCGCGTCCAGCCGGTGAGGGGGCGGGGCGCTCCGGAGGCGCCCCAGGGTCAGAGGTCATCCAGGCTGGAGTCCCAGCACCCACAGAGCCTGAACCGCACCCCTGCCCCTCCCTTGGCACTGCCCTGGGAGGGCACCCTGCCCTCCGAGCTGGGCCTGGGACAGTGTGACGCGAGGCACGGAGCAGGGACTGGCCTGAGGGGTCACCAGGCTGGGTCAGGGCAGCCAGCACACACACTGGTGCCCCCCACCCCCGGCCCCCAGGTCCTCCGCCCAGTCCTTGCTCCTTCGAGGGCCGGACACCTGCTGACTGCCTGGGCCTGAGGGAGCGCACTGCCCGGACCGGCTGCGCTGTGACGGGCCTGGTTTAGTTCCCCCCACAGTCTGGATGCACGCTTGCCCCCAGCCGCCCGGGCCTGGGGAGCCCCCCCCCCCAGGGTGTTCGGGGCCGGGTAGAGCCAGGATGGCGTTAGGGAGGGCCGGGCTGAGTCAGCGGGAACCCCTGGCCCTCTGCGCCCTCCCCAGCACCAGGAAGTGGGGTGCAGGACGGGCAGGGTAGATAGATGGTGACCCGGGGGGCTGCTTCCACGGGCAGAGAGGGTCCAGAAAGGATGGGGGAGGGACGGAGATGCTCAGCGTTAGCGTTTCCTGTCACCCGGGCCCTTGAACTTCAGAGCTCTGAGGCCCAGCCAAAGAGCCTGCCGGCGAAGCCCACACCAGACCAGGCTCCTGACCCGGTGCCCGCCCTTCCCCACCCGCCGGGCTCCCCGGTGTCCACAGCCACCAGCACCGCGTCCTGTGACCCAGAGCCATTGACGCCAATCCCGTGGCCGCCGGGAGCCGGCCCAGGGTCCTGAGTCATGGCCCTGTGATGGAGTCACCTTCCTGCCTGGCTGTCCCGCGGGCACCCCACCCCCGGCCCGGCTGGGCTGGGCCGCCCCTCCCCGGTCCAGAGGCCACGGCCTCCATGGGACGCCCACCCTCCATGCCCTCTGGCTGTCACCTTCCTCCTCAGCCTCCGCGTCCTGTCCCTCGACTGAGCTGAGAGGCAGGTGTCAGATCCCACGCGTGTCTCCCCCCGTCAGTGTCCTCATTGCTGGGGGAGGGTCTGCCCTCCCTCTCCCTCAGGCAGGGGGGCCTGGGACTTGGGGCTCGGGAATGGGGAGCCACAGCATGGCGGCGGCGGGGGGGGGGGGGGGCTAGAGCCCAGGCCAGAGTGGGGCAGCGGAGGGGGGGCGAGCCGGTGGCGTCCTGGGTCTGAATGCTTGGAGCCCCCCCACGCCCAGCGTGTGTGTCTGAAGGTGCCAGCGCCCCCCTCCCTCCCTCCATTGTCCCCCAAACACCCCTTCCCGGCGCGCTGTGCCCCCAGCCGGGGTATAAATAACCCTGGCCGGCCGGCCGGGCTGGGGGGCTCTGCTGGCAGCCCCACTTCCTCCCGGCCACTTCCTGGGGGGGCAGTGTTTACTTTCCTGTTGTCACTGGCCGGGCGGCCGGGCGGGGACCCAGCGGCCCGACAACAGGTGCCGGGCAGGTGCCCAGCCGCCCGGCCCGGACTTCAGAGGCGCCGCCAGGCCGGGCCGGGCGAGGCCCAGCCAGCCGGCCCGGCCCTTTGATCCCCGCGTCCTCCCGCCCCCGAGGTCGGCCAAGGTCATCACCTGTGTTCCTGCCGCCCAGCCGGGAGGACGGACACGGCCTCAGCCCGCAGGCATGGCTCTGCCGCTGAGGGAGTCCCCTGGCTGCCGTCCCCCCGCCCAGCCCAGCCCAGCACATCCGGGCGCTCTGACCACGTTGGCCTCAGCAGCCCTCCGCACTGTTCCCGGCAGCAGCTGCCGGTGGGCCGCCCTGACCGATGGGACGGGGCACTGCTGGCCTCCCTCAGGCCGCCCTTTAGGGTCTTGGGCCCAGCTGTTCTCCCTCTCCAGACCCCACGGGATTGCCCACCTGTGGATGGTCACCACCTGTGAGGTGGTCACCAGCTGTGAGATGGGTTAGCACCTGTAAGATGACTAGCTATAAGATGGGTCACCACTTCTGAGATGACTAGCTGTGAGATGGGTCACCACTTGTGAGATGGTAACTAGCTGTGTATGAGATGGTCACCAGCTGTGAGATGGTAACTAGCTGTGTATGAGATGGTCACCAGCCGTGAGATGGTAACTAGCTGTGTATGAGATGGTCACCAGCTGTGAGATGGTAACTAGCTGTGTATGAGATGGTCACCAGCCGTGAGATGGTAACTAGCTGTGTATGAGATGGTCACCAGCCGTGAGATGGTAACTAGCTGTGTATGAGATGGTCACCAGCCGTGAGATGGTAACTAGCTGTGTATGAGATGGTCACCAGCCGTGAGATGGTAACTAGCTGTGTATGAGATGGTCACCAGCTGTGAGACGGTAACTAGCTGTGGGCTGGGTTAGCAAACGTGGGCTGGGGAGACAGGTCATGCCTGGCCCCTGGTGACAGCCTCGTCCGATTCAGGACGTGTGTGCAGTCACGCCTGGGCCCCGTGTGGACACGCGTGTGCTCTGTGTGCTCCATCGCAGGCCTCTGTGCTGGGGTGCTCATCCCCCTCATACATCTCCTGCTGAGCGGAGACCAGCGGGGGAGGGGCTCCAGCGGGGGAGGGGGCGCTTACCAGGGTCCCCGGCTCTCTCCCTCCAGAGGACGGCTCCCAAGTGCCCCGGGTCCTGTGTGTGCCCCTGCCTGTCCCCAGCCAGTCCCTCCTGTCCTTCCCCCGAGGACTGCCCAGCAACCAGGGGAGGGAGGGCCTCAGGCAGGAGAGAAACCTAGGACCCCCCGCCCGGGGCTGCCCCCACCCCTCCCGAGCCCGTCACCCTGGGCTGGGGAGCCCCGGGGCAGTGGCCGCAGGCGCGTGCCTGTGGCTGGCTGGCCCGCTCAGACACGGGGACGCCGTGGCTGGCCTTGCCCTCTGTCTGGCGGTGAGGACAGGGCACCCGGCTCCGTGCCAGCGTCTGCGGCTGTCCTGAGCTCACCTGCCCCCGAGGCTCCTGTGGGCGCGGCCCTTCCAGGCAGACGCTTTGATGGCCGCCCGCTGGCTCCTGCCCGCTGTCCTCGCCCCGGCCGGCTGGCGGGATTGCCGAGGAATCGGGGTGCAGCTTTGGTGTGGTCCCTTTCTGGCTGGCCTTGCTCCTCCCAGCAAGTCAGCGACGAGAGCCTGGCTGGCGTGGCTCAGCGGTTGAGGGTAGACCCGTGAACCAGGAGGTCACGGTCAGGGCACAGGCCCGGGTTGGGGGCTCCATCCCCAGTGGGGGGTGCAGGAGGCAGCCCCTCAGGGCTTCTCTCTCATCCCTGATTTCTCTCCCTCTCCCTCTCCCTTCCTCTCTGAAAGCAATAAAAAATGTATAGTTTTAAAAGCCTAACGGGTGTGGCTCAGTGGATAGAGTGTCAGCCTGCGAACTGAAGGGTCCCGGGTTCGATTCCGGCCAAGGGCATGTACCTTGGTTGCAGGCACATCCCCAGTAGAGGGGGCATGCAAGAGGCAGCTGATGGATGTTTCTCTCTCACTGATGTTTCTAACTCTCTATCCCTTTCCCTTCTTTTGTAAAAAAAAAAAGTCAGGGACTAAAGAGGAAGCTGGGTGCTCCCCGGAGGCGGGACCGGGGGTGAACATGACCAGTGGGGGGGGGGAGCCCCCTCTGCCAAGGGGTGTGTGACTGGATGGTGTCCGAGGGCCCTGACTGCTGCCGCCGCGCCCCCCCCCCCCACAGAGCTGAAGGCCACGGGCACCGCCCATTTCTTCAACTTCCTGCTCAACACCACGGACTACCGCATCCTGCTCAAGGACGAGGACCACGACCGCATGTACGTGGGCAGCAAGGACTACGTGCTGTCCCTGGACCTGCACGACATCAACCGCGAGCCCCTCATCGTAAGGCGGGGCGGCGGGGGCGGGGCGGGGCGGGACAGCGGGGGCCGGGCCTGGGCGGGGCGCTGGCCGCGCTGACCCCTGGCCCGCGTCCGCAGATCCACTGGGCGGCCTCCCCGCAGCGCATCGAGGAGTGCGTGCTGTCGGGCAAGGATGGCAACGTGAGTGCGGGGGCCGCGCGGGGGGGCGGCGGGCGGTCCCGGGCGGGGCCAGGCGGGCACCTGCGTACCTCCGGCTTCCCTCTGGCCCAGGGGGAGTGCGGGAACTTCGTCAGGCTCATCCAGCCCTGGAACCGGACGCACCTGTACGTGTGCGGGACCGGCGCCTACAACCCCATGTGCACCTACGTGAACCGCGGCCGCCGCGCCCAGGTGAGCCCGCGCCCCCTCGCAGGGAGGCTCCGTCCAGGTCTGGCGCCGGTGAGCGGCCGCCCTCACCGCGCAGAGCCGGCCCGGCACCCAGACACGCTGACAGTGCCTTTCTCATAGGTGGTGCGAGCAGAGGCGGTGAGCTCACTCCCCGAGCTCGGGGCCCCGGCCGGCTCCTAGCAGGCGCCTCCACCCGCGGCCCGGCCAGGGGCCCGGCGGGGCCTCGGCATCACGGCTCCTGCCACTCAGCCCCTTCCCCAGCTCTGCCTGCCCCGCCCGCTTCTGCCCTTTTCCATTTCTGTGTGGGCACGTGTGTGGCTGGCGTGACCGCGTGGAGCGTGTGTGAGAGTGACAGGTCCGAGGGGCACGTGTGTGCAGGTGTGCGCCTCGCTGTGTATGTGCATGCACAGGCGCCTCTGTGTACTCGGGGAGCCCGGTGCTCACGTGTGTGTCTGGCGTGTGTGGTGAGAGGCGGCAGCCCGAGCCCGCTCCCCAGCCCCTGCCCCCCTCCCCGGCTCTAACCGGTTCCTCGTTTCCTCAGGCCACGCCCTGGACCCAGACGCAGGTGGTCAGAGGCCGAGGCAGCAGAGCCACGGACGGTGCCCTCCGCCCGACGCCCACAGCCCCACGCCAGGTGGGCTCCCCCTCCAGGCCCAGGCCGGGCGCCCGCCTCTGAGCTGAGCCCCTCCGTCTGGCCCCCTGCCAGGACCCATGCCCAGGCCGGCCCCCCAGACCCCCACCTCTGTGCCCCCCCAGCCCCTCCCCTGCAGTGACTGAAGGCCCCCGGGATTCACGTCCGCTTGTGTGCACCTCGCAGGCGAGAAACCGTGAAGCCACCAGGTGGGGAAGACGGAAGCCTGGGGATAGCCATGCCTGAGCCCTCCGAACACATGTGTGTGTAGACATGCACAAACACATGCCAACATATGTGTGGGCACACATTTGCTCAGCACCCCGAGTGGGAACATGGCACGTGTGTGCAGTCCGGCATCTCTCCATGTCCCGGGCCTCCGTGGGCCCTGGTTGGCTCAGCGGCGGGAGGGGCAGAGCTGTCTGTCACTGGGGCTGGGCTGGGGGCTGGGCAGGGGCGGGCAGGGGGCCAGGGGCTGCCGGTGAGTGAGGGCAGATGGTTGAGAACATGTGTGTCTGTGGCGGGCAGTACTGAGAATGGGGACCATCAGACTGCGTGTGCGCCAGCGTGCAAACAGTGGGTGCCGAGTGCTGCCGTAGAGCGTGCCCAGCCGAGTGTGCAGCTGCCGTGAGCGTGCCCAGTGTGTGTGCAGCCCCATGTGTGCTGGAAGTCGCGTGTGCAGCGTGAAACTGGAGACGGGCCTGTGCACACCTCCCATCTCCTCCCCCGCCACCCGCTGCACCCCTGCCTCTGCGCCTCCCCCCCTTCTCCCAGGAGCCCCTCCCTGTCTCCGTGCCTTCCCAGCCTCCCTCTGGCATCCCCGGGGCGGGCGGGCGGGCGGGCGGCTTGGCCAATTCCGTGTGGTTTGGGGGGGACCCTCCCAGGCCTGGCTGCCTGGGGAAACCTGGAGGCCCACGGGGCAGGCAGAAGGCCGGGCCTACCAGTCAGTCCGAGGACGTGGGTGACCACAGAGCCCGCTGACTGGTGGGACCTGAGGGCGAAGGACAGGACCCAGGCCCGTGGCCGTGCCCCCACCCTGACCGTGGCTGTCCTGGGCCCAGCGCAGGCCTCGCCCACCGTCCTGCCCCGGGAACCTGCGGAGGGCTGACCGGGATCTGGGGAGGGGGCGGTGCCCAGGCCCCCGGCTGTGGACCTGCCCCTCCTCGGCCGTGGCCCGCCCCGCGCGCTGAGCCGCCCTCTGCCTGCAGGACTACATCTTCTACCTGGAGCCTGAGAGACTCGAGTCCGGGAAGGGCAAGTGTCCCTATGACCCCAAGCTGGACACGGCCTCGGCCCTCATCAGTGAGTGCCCCCCTTCCCACCCCCTGGAGCTCTGCTTCCGAGCGGGGTGGTGCCTGAACCCCCAGTGGGCCCCACTGGTGGGGAGGGGGCTTCAGCAGGCCCCAGTGTGAGGGAGCTGAGGGGCAGAGATGGGGCGGAGGGTCAGACCCCCCCCCCACACACACACACAATCTAGTGTGGCCGCGGGCAGCCTGGAGGCGGGGACAGGGCAGGCTGAGTCGGGGGGGGGGGTTAAAGAGGAGTAGGGGGGTAAAGGGGAGTAAAGGGGTAAAGGGGAGTAAAGGGGTAAAGGGGAGTAGGGGGGTAAAGGGGAGTAAAGGGGTAAAGGGGAGTAGGGGGGGTAAAGGGGAGTAAAGGGGTAAAGGGGAGTAAAGGGGTAAAGGGGAGTAGGGGGGTAGAGGGGAGTAAAGGGGTAGAGGGGAGTAGGGGGGGTAGAGGGGAGTAAAGGGGTAAAGGGGAGTAAAGGGGTAAAGGGGAGTAGGGGGGTAGAGGGGAGTAGGAGGGGTAGAGGGGAGTAGGGGGGTAAAGGGGAGTAAAGGGGTAAAGGGGAGTAAAGGGGTAAAGGGGAGTAGGGGGTAAAGGGGAGTAGGGGGGTAAAGGGAGTAGGGTAAAGGGGAGTAGTAAGGGGAGTAAGGGTAAAGGGGAGTAGGGGGTAAGGGGGTAAAGAGGGGTAAGGGTAAAGGGGTAGGGGGGTAGATAGGGGATAGGGGAGGGTAAGGGGGGTAAAGGGGTAGGGGGTAAAGGGGTAAGGGGGAAGTAGAGGGGTCGGTAGAGGGGAGTAAAGGGGTAGAGGGGTATTAGGGTCGGGGTGGTAGGTAGGGGGGGAGTAGGGGGGGGTAGAGGGGAGTAAAGGGGTAGAGGGGAGTAGGGGGGGTAGAGGGGAGTAAAGGGGTAGAGGGGAGTAGGGGGGGTAGAGGGGAGTAGGGGGGTAGAGGGGAGTAGGGGGGGGTCGAGGGGGGAGGTAAAGGGGTAGGTTAGCGGGAAGTTAGGGGCGGGGTCGACGGGGAACGTTAAAGGGCGTTCACGTATGCAGGGAGTAGGGGGGGTAGAGGGAGTAAAGGGGTAGAGGGGAGGGGGGTAGAGGGGAGTAAAGGGGTAGAGGGGAGTAGGGGGGTAGAGGGGAGTAGGGGGGGAAGGGGGGGGAAGGGGGGTAGAGGGGAGTAGGGGGGTAGAGGGGAGGTACGGGGGGGTGGTTAGAGGGGAGTAGGGGGTTAGCGGGAGTACGTAAAGGGGTAGAGGGCGTCGGGGGGGTAGAGGGGAGTAGGGGGAGTAGGGGGTGGGTTAGAGGGTAGTAAGGGGGTAGAGGGGAGTAGGGGGGTTAGAGGGGAGTAAAGGGGGGTTAGTAGGGGGGTAGATGGGGTGTGGTGTGGTAGAGTGGAGTAGGGGGGTCGAGGGGAGTAGTGGGGTCGAGGGGAGTAAAAGGGGTAGAGGGGAGTAGGTTGGGGGTAGCGGGGCGTAGGGGGGAGGGGGGTAGGGGGGAGTAGTAGGGGGGGTAGAGGGGAGTAGGGGGGTAGAGGGGAGTAGGGGGGTAGAGGGGAGTAGGGGGGTAGAGGGGAGTAAAGGGGTAGAGGGGAGTAGGGGGGGTAGAGGGGAGTAGGGGGGGTAGAGGGGAGTAGGGGGGTAGAGGGGAGTAGGGGGGTAGAGGGGAGTAAAGGGGTAGAGGGGAGTAGGGGGGGGTAGCGGGGAGTAGGGGGGTAGAGGGGAGTAGGGGGCAATGATCCCATCGGGTGTCCTCGATTTGCCTGGGAGGCTGGGAGAGGCCGCAGGATGCACCCCGGGGAGTCCCGGCCCCGTGACCGGTGGGCAGTGCTTTGGTCTGGCCAGGTGTCTGGGGAGGTTGGGGGATGTTCTCTGAGGAGGGAGGGGTCCTGTCTGGGCCTCAGGAGCAGCTGCCACCCCTGCCCACAGGGGCGAGCCCCCCTTGACCCTGGTCCCGCACTGTCCTGCCTCGGAGCACCTGCCGGCGCCAGGCCCTGGGGCAGGGGGTGGGCATCTCCTCCCATCCTGGCTAGCGAGAAGGTCCCAGCCTAATGGCAAAGCCCAGCCAAGGCGGCTGCGGGGCAGGGCCCCCGGGGAGGCTGGGAGCGGGCGAGGGGCTGGCGGGCCAGGTGCCGGCATCCCCGGGCGGAGCTGGGATTAGAACTAAAGTCTGTGAAGTTACACGTGAGCCAGTCCCTTTAAAAGGGGACGTGCACCCAGCTCGCTGCTTCCTGGCGTCTGGCACTGACTGTCGCCCGCTCCTGAGGGCGGATCCTGAGGGCAGATGCCCTGTGAGTGGTTGGAGGGTGGGCGCCGTCAGGACCGCCCTCGGCTCGCAGCCTGCAGCAGCCACCCCCAGAGGTTTCCCCAGAAATGGGCTCTGGTGCTGAACCCCGTCCCCAGGGCCTGTCCCAGATTGCCAGCACCCACTCACCAGGCCCTGGGCAGCGGGGGGCAGGCCCGGCCCCGCAGGTCAGTGGGCTCCGGATGCCGGCTCCCGGCCTGGCAGAGGGCGGCCCCTGACCGGCCCTCCGCCCCCAGACGAGGAGCTGTATGCGGGCGTGTACATCGACTTCATGGGCACGGACGCCGCCATCTTCCGCACACTGGGCAAGCAGACGGCCATGCGCACCGACCAGCACAACTCCCGCTGGCTCAACGGTGAGCCCGCCCCCAGGCCCCGCCCAGGCGGCAGGTCTGGGACATCTCGGGGATTCCCAGCCCTGTGCCTGGCTGGGGAGGGTTGGGGTGCTCCTGGATTGGGGGTGGCTGGGGAGGGTCGGGTGCCCCTGGATTGGGGGGCTGGGGAGGGTCGGGTGCCCCTGGATTGGGGGGCTGGGGAGGGTTGGGTGCCCCTGGATTGGGGGGGCTGGGGAGGGTCGGGTGCTCCTGGATTGGGGGTGGCTGGGGAGTGTGGGGTGCTCCTGGATTGGGGGTGCTGGGGAGGGTCGGGTGCCCCTGGATTGGGGGGGCTGGGGAGGGTCGGGTGCCCCTGGATTGGGGGGGCTGGGGAGGGCTCGGTGCCCGGGATCGGGGGAGGTGCCCGCTGACGCCTGTGCCCGCAGACCCCTCGTTCATCCACGCGGAGCTCATCCCGGACAGCGCGGAGCGCAACGACGACAAGCTGTACTTCTTCTTCCGGGAGCGCTCGGCCGAGGCCCCGCAGAGCCCCGCCGTGTACGCCCGCATCGGCCGCATCTGCCTGGTAGGCGGCCGCCGGCTCCGCCCTGACAGCCCTGGGCGGGGTGGGGGCCAGGGGACGGGGCCCGGCCCTGACCCGGCCCTGCCCCCCCCAGAATGACGACGGCGGCCACTGCTGCCTGGTCAACAAGTGGAGCACCTTCCTGAAGGCGCGGCTGGTGTGCTCCGTGCCCGGCCACGACGGCATCGAGACGCACTTCGACGAGCTCCGTGAGTGCGGGCGGGCGGGGCGGGCAGTCACGGCTCCGCCCGGGCGGTCACCCCGGGGGCCTGGGCGGGGCGGGCGGGGCGGCAGTCACGGCTCCGCCCGGGCGGCTCCCCGGGGGCCTGGGGGGAGGGGGCGGTCAGAGCCCCGGGGCGGTCACCCCAGCTCCGGCCTTGGGGGGGGGCGGTCAGAGCCCCGGGCGGCCTCCCCGGGGCCTGGGGGGGGGCGGTCAGAGCCCCGGGCGGCTCCCCGGGGGCCTGGGGGGGGGCGGTCAGAGCCCCGGGGCGGCTCCCCGGCTCCGGCCATGCCCTCCAGCGGCCGCTCCTCTCCCCAGAGGACGTGTTTGTGCAGCAGACCCAGGACGTGCGGAACCCGGTCATCTACGCTGTCTTCACCTCCTCCGGGTGAGGCAGGGTGCTGGGTGCTGGGTGCCGGGGCGGGTGAGGCGGGGTTCCTCCGGGTGAGGCGGGGTGCTGGGTGCTGGGTGCTGGGGCGGGTGAGGCGGGGTTCCTCCGGGTGAGGCGGGGTTCCTCCGGGTGAGGCGGGGTGCTGGGTGCTGGGTGCTGGGGCGGGTGAGGCGGGGTTCCTCCGGGTGAGGCGGGGTGCTGGGTGCTGGGTGCTGGGTGCCGGGGCGGGTGAGGCGGGTGCCTTGGGCGCCGTGAGGGGCTGGACGGGAGGCCCGGGCCCAGGTCCGCCCGGTACCAGCTGCGCCCACGGGCAGCTCCGTGTTCCGAGGCTCCGCCGTGTGCGTGTACTCCATGGCCGACATCCGCATGGTCTTCAACGGGCCCTTCGCGCACAAGGAGGGCCCCAACTACCAGTGGATGCCCTTCTCCGGGAAGATGCCCTACCCGCGGCCGGGCACGGTGAGCGGCTCCCGGCCTCCCCGAGGCCCGAGCAGGGGGGGCACAGGGCAGCCCCGGGGCGGGGGGGGCGGGGGCACAGGGCAGCCCCCGGGGCGGGGGGGGGCGGGGGCACAGGGCAGCCCCCGGGGCGGGGGGGCACAGGGCAGCCCCCAGGGCGGGGGGGGGGCGGGTGCACAGGGCAGCCCCCGGGGCGGGGGGGCGGGGGCACAGGGCAGCCCCCGGGGCGGGGGGGGCACAGGGCAGCCCCCGTGGCGGGGGGGGGGGTGGGCGCACAGGGCAGCCCCCGGGGGGGGGGGGGGCACAGGGCAGCCCCCGGGGCGGGGGGGGGCGGGCGCACAGGGCAGCCCCCTCGCCCGCAGCTGAGGCTCCTCTGCCTCCAGTCCTCACCTGAGTGCACTCCCCATGGTGTGTAGGGGGGGGGGCAGAGAAACGTCGATGGGAGGGACACATGGATGGGGTGGGTGTCTCCCACACAAGGCCCAGTCAGGGCTGGGGGTGGGACCTGCAGCGGAGGGACCAGGGACGAGGGACGTGCCCTTGACCGGAATCGAACCGGGGACCTTAAGGCCACAGGCCGACGCTCGATCCGCTGAGCCAGACCAGTAAAGCGGAAATGTTAACACCACAGCTGCGCGGCTGTGACCGGCTCCGCCGGGTCCGGAGCAGAGCCGGTGGGCGGTGTGGCTCCTGGCGGCTCCTGGGGGCGGCTCCTGGGGGCACTGCTCCTGGGGCGGCTCCTGGGGGCGGCTCCTGGGGGCACTGCTCCTGGGGCGGCTCTGGGGGCTGCTTGGGAGCTGGAAGTTGGGGGAAGAGCTCAGGGCAGACGCGGGAGGCGGGCTGGTCAGCGTGGGGCAGGCAGTAGGTGAGGGGCGGTTGGTGGAGGTGATGCCCTGATCTTGGGGTTCAAGGCCACAGCAGGCAGTGCGGCTGGTTCAGTGCCGCGGGCAGTCAGCAGAACTGGAGGCTGGGCGGGGCGGCCGGTGCTGACGGAGTTCAGGGCCTGCTGAGCGAGCGGGCTGGGCGGCTGGGGCGGGTGAGGGGCATCGGGGAAGGAGACCTTGGCGGGGCGGGGCGGGGGGAGTGGTCAGCTCTGCAGAAGGTGGCCGCAGGCCTGGCACATGGGGCCAGGGGGGAGGCGTGGGGTGGGCACTGTGGGGCCTGGGCCTCCCCTGGAGCGGGCGCTGCGGAGGCTGGGGCAGGGCAGGCGCCCGGCTGACTGAGGAGCGAGCAGCGAGTGGTGGGCAGCAGACAGACAGACGGACAGAGGCCTGTCCTGCGGCCGTGGGCCTGACTGCTCGCCTGCCCGCAGTGCCCGGGCGGGACCTTCACGCCCTCCATGAAGTCCACCAAGGACTACCCGGACGAGGTCATCAACTTCATGCGCAGCCACCCGCTCATGTACCAGCCCGTGTATCCACTGCAGCGGCGGCCCCTGGTGGTCCGCACGGGCGCCCCCTACCGGCTCACCACCGTCGCCGTGGACCAGGTGGATGCAGCCGACGGGCGCTATGAGGTGCTTTTCCTGGGCACAGGTACCCACTGCTGCTCCCTGCCCTCCTGGGCCCGCGGGGTGGAGGGTGCTTCTCCCAGAGGCTGGGCCCCTGGCAGAGGGGTGGCCACCGGCTGGTCAAGGTCAACTCCGCCCCCTTCGTCCTCCGGAGCCGGCTCCCTGGTGCCAGGAGGGGTGGGCAGACCCCGTCCTCACCCCTGGGGACGGGCACCACGGAGGAGCAGGAGGGGGGGCATGGCAGACGCCTCCAGGATACGGGGGTCCCAGCGCAGGCTCTCGCAGGCGCCCTGGTGAAGCGCACCCCCCGGCTCCCCCCGGCTCGGCTCCGAGCGGTGCCAGCAGGGTCTGGTGGGGCGGCCCTCAGGCCTCCCCCGTCATCGGGAGGCTCCGGCCCGGGCACAGCCGCTGGCCACTGCCCTCGGGGTTGGGCCCTGGTGGGGACGGGGCTGAGGCTGGTGCCCCTCCCCCAGCGCCCTCAGCCCCTGAGGCCCTGCCCGGCCCGTTCCAGACCGCGGCACAGTGCAGAAGGTCATCGTGCTGCCCAAGGACGACCAGGAGGTGGAGGAGCTCATGCTGGAGGAGGTGGAGGTGTTTAAGGTGGGTGTGACCCCGGTGCCCGCGCCCCGCTCAGAGCCACCGGGTGGGGCGGGAGGTCCCAGAGCCCAGGCCAACCAACCCTTCCCTCTCCCAGGACCCCGCACCCGTCAAGACCATGACCATCTCCTCCAAGAGGGTGAGCTTCCGGGGGGCGGGCTGCGGGGGGCAGAGCCTGCTCCCCTTCGGGGTCCTGCCCTGGGCACAGGGGTGGGGAAACTGAGGCACGGGGCAGCACGGGAAGGGGCCCGCCCAGCGGGGGGAACTAACCCTCCCCCTCCCCCGCCCCCAGCAACAACTGTACGTGGCCTCGGCCGTGGGCGTCACGCACCTGAGCCTGCACCGCTGCCAGGCCTACGGGGCCGCCTGTGCCGACTGCTGCCTGGCCCGGGACCCCTACTGCGCCTGGGACGGCCAGGCCTGCTCCCGCTACACCGCCTCCTCCAAGAGGTGCGCCCGCCGGCCGCCCGCCACCCCCGGCACAGGCCCGGCCGGGGGGGGGGGGGGAGCCACAGGCCCGGCCCGGGGGGGGGGCCACAGGCCCGGGGGGGGGCACAGGCCCGGGGGGGGGTGCACAGGCCCGGGGGGGGGTGCACAGGCCCGGCCCGGGGGGGGGCCACAGGCCCGGGGGGGGGCACAGGCCCGGGGGGGGGTGCACAGGCCCGGGGGGGGGGGCACAGGCCCGGCCCGGGGGGGGGGCCACAGGCCCGGGGGGGGGCACAGGCCCGGGGGGGGTGCACAGGCCCGGGGGGGGGGGGTGCCACAGGCCAGGCCCGGGGGGGGAGGTGCCACAGGCCCAGGCCCCCTGGGGCGGGGGGTAGGGGGGGGAGGCTTGGCACCCAGGGGTGCGGGCCCGGGGGATGGGCGGGCGGATTCCTCAGGCGGCCCGTCCGCGGCTCTCCTCCCCAGGCGGAGCCGCCGGCAGGACGTCCGGCATGGGAACCCCATCCGGCAGTGCCGGGGCTTCAACTCCAACGGTGAGTGCGCCAGCGCCCCCTACCCGGCCCCATCCCACCCCGCCCCTACCCTACCCGGCCCCATCCCACCCCCCCCACCGCCCTACCCCCCGCCCCCATCCCAACACCCCCCGCCCTACCCCCTGCTCCCATCCCACCCCCACCCCATCCCACCCCTGCCCTACCCCCGCCAGCCACCAGGCTCTCCCCAGGCCCAGGGGATGGGGTCTCAGGCTGCCCGCAGGGGTGAGGGCTTGGGGCTTCAGCACTGGGTGTCCCAGCACCCTCCGGCGGGGGTGGGGGGTGCCCTGCCGGCAGCTCCTCACCACCCCGCCGCCCGCCCGCCCGCCCGCCGGCAGCCAACAGGAACGCGGTGGAGGCGGTGCAGTACGGCGTGGCCGGCAGCGCGGCCTTCCTCGAGTGCCAGCCCCGCTCGCCCCAGGCCGCCGTCAAGTGGCTGTTCCAGCGCGACCCCGGCGACCGGCGCCGCGAGGTGACTGCCGCCCCCACCCCCTCCTCACACCGCCCAGGCCACCCCGGGTGGAGGCAGTGCGACCGCCTCGTTCCGCCGTGAAACCTGCACTGGGGCTCCCGGGCCCCGCAGCCCGAGCTGCCGGCGGCAGGGGCACAGCCGAGCCCCCTCTGCCCGGGGTTCGGGGTCCCAGCCCGGGGTTCGGGGTCCCAGCCCGGGGTTCGGGGTCCCAGCCTCCTCCCGCTCCCCTCGCAGATCCGGGCAGAGGAGCGCCTCCTGCGCACGGACCAGGGCCTGCTGCTCCGCGCGCTGCAGCCGGGCGACCGCGGCCTGTACTCGTGCACGGCCACCGAGAACAACTTCAAGCACGTGGTCACGCGGGTGCAGCTGCACGTGCTGGGCCGGGACGCGGTGCACGCCGCCCTCTTCCCGCCGCCGGCCAGCGCCCCGCCCGCCCCCGGCGCCGGCCCCCCGCCGCCCGCGGACCAGGAGCTGGCCCAGCTGCTGGCCCGGCCGGAGGTGGGCCTCCTCCACCAGTACTGCCAGGGCTACTGGCGCCACGTGCCGCCCGGCCCCCGGGAGCCCGCGGACCAGAAGCCCCGGAACCGCCGCCACCACGCCCCGGACACCTGAGCAGCGCCCGCCCGCCCTTACTATAAAGACACATAGATATATATATATAAAACGTCTATATTCTACACGCCCGCCCCTCAGAGACAGTATTTATTGGTGGTTGTACACACCCGCCCCGGCCGGTCAGAGACGGACGCAGAGGACGGCCACCCGGCCCCGCCGCCCGGCCGCCCGCCACGGCCGCCGGCCACGGCCGCCGCCGGGACCCACGGGACACGGACCCACGGACTGGACCCCTGGCCGGCGCGCGCTGTGCCGGGCCGCCCACGCCGTGGACGGGGGACTCCGCCGACGGGCGGGAGGGCCGGCTGGCTGCGCACGGAGGGGGCGAGCGTGCGGCCATCATGGACGGCCCTGCCCGGGAAGGGCTGGGTCAAGGCCAGCCCGCCCGGGTATTTATTCTCTATTTATTGGGGATGAGAAGAGGACGCCGTGGATGGGGGCCCGTCAGCCCTCCCTGCCTGGCCGCGCCCTCTGGGCCGTGGCTGCCGCTGTGGCTCGGCTGGCGCATTGCAGCGGGCTGGGCACCGGCGGGGCTGCGGGCACAAGCCTGGGGTTGGCCGGGCTCCCTCCTGCGCCCGCTCTGGGCGAGGGGTGTACATAGCTCTGGGGGCAGGCGGATGGGGCTCCCGGAGGCCCTCGCCGCCCCGGCCCCCCGGGCTCCATCTTGTTAATAAACACTGGCTCTGGGACTGGATTGCGGCTTCTCCTTGGCAGGGGCAGGAGGGTGGGGCTCAGCCCATGCCCAGATCGGCCGCTGCTGCCCCCTCGCCCTGTGCAGCCTGGCACTCGTACCCACCCGTCCTCCCCTGCAGGCGCTCCCCTCCTGTTGTCGGTCCTTCAGCTCACCGGCGCTGTGTCCGCCTGGTGCCGGCGCTGGGGCAGGAACGGCCACCGCCCTGGCCGCAGCCCCATCCTGCCTGCCTGCCCTCGGCTCAGCAGGGGGAGGCGGCGGCTGAGGAGCCCGGACGGGCTGAATCGGGCCGGCAGCGCGGAGCCCTGGGAGGCCTGTGGGTCCAGCGGGCGAAGGCCAGGCCTGGAGGCCGGGAGCCAGGGAGGGACGAGAGGACAGTGGGTTGGCCTCACTTTAAATAAACTCAGGATGCAGAAGACAGGTGTTTGGGGCTTAACCAGCCTGGGCTCCTGCGCTCCACGCACTGGCAGAGGTGGGTGGAGGACGGATGGGATTGAGGCCCCGGACAGGCCCCTCCCCAGCAGGAGCGGTGGGGAAGCCATGGGGATGGTCCGCGCTGTGCTGGGGCCGCCCACCTCGGGCTCCTGGTGGCAGATGGAGCGGCCTGAGAAGGCGGCCAGGGTCCCGGAGGAGCCAGGGGGAGGCTCGGGGCCCCGAGGGAGCCGGCGGGAGCCCAACACTCCACCCCACAGCGCACTGTGCCGCCCGCACCCACGCACCCGGACCACGGAGCCCTGAGCCGTGTGCCTCCGACCTGAGCAGCTCCCCGGGCAGGCGCAGAGCCGAGGACCCCTCCCATGGGAGGGCCAGACCTGCTCCAGACTCAGTTTCCCCAGCTGACAACAGACCTGCCAAACGTGCTCTGCAAGAGCCTGGCCCCCTCTGCTGGTCAGAGACAATATTGCACTGGAGTACACGTGCAAGCAGGCACATGACCGTGTGCATGCACACGCACACATGTACGTGTGCAGGGGCACATGCATAAATACATGCACATGCATTTATAGATGCATACACACATGCACGTGTGTGTGTAAGCTCGTGTGTGCACGAAGAGAACTATACAGAAGCACATGCTTGTACACAGTCAGGTGTGCATGGGCACACTCATGCACTCACAGGCGCACATATGAGCACATGTACACGGAACTGTAGACAGACCAACGTGTGTCATGCCATTGCCTTACGTGGTGCCGGTAAAGGACAGACATGCCCCAGGCATACAGCAGGCATGCACCCTCCCAAGTCCACCGGCATCCCAAGTCCAGGCCCCGCCAGCCTCTGGCACAAACGAAATGTCCTCCTCTGCCTCTTGGCCCCCTGAAGAGCCTGGAGCCAAATGCGAGTCACCAACTCCACTCAGCCACCTCCTACCCTGTGGTTCCGCCCCTCCTCCCTCAGCCTCTCAGCGCCTCCTCCCTCAGCCTCTTCCCTCAGCCCCTCTCCCTCAGCCCCTCCTCCCTCAGCCCCTCAGCCCCTCTTCCCTCAGCCCCTCCTCCCTCAGCCCCTCAGCTCCTCCTCCTTTAGCCCCTCTTCCCTCAGCCCCTCTCCCTCAGCCCCTCCTCCCTCAGCCCCTCCGCCCCTCTTCCCAGCCCCTCTCTCCCTCACCCCTCAGCCCCTCCCTCCCCTCAGCCCCTCAGCCCCTCCTCCCTTCAGCCCCTCCTCCCTCAGCCCTCAGCCCCCTCCCTCCCCCTCAGCTCCTCCTCCCTCAGCCCCTCCTCCCTCAGCCCCTCCTCACCACCCTCCCCCTCAGCCCTCCTCCCTCAGCCCCTCCTCCCTAAGCCCCTCCTCCCTCAGCCCCTCTTCCCTCAGCCCCCCCCTCACCCCTCAGCTCCTCCTCCGTTACCCCTCCTCCCTCAGCCCCTCTCCCTCAGCCCCTCCTCCCTCAGCCCCTCTTCCCTCAGCCCCTCCTCCCTCAGCCCCTCAGCTCCTCCTCCTTTAGCCCCTCCTCCCTCAGCCCCTCTCCCTCAGCCCCTCCTCCCTCAGCCCCTCAGCCCCTCCTCCCTCAACCCCTCAGCCCCTCTCCCTCAGCCCCTCCTCCCTCAGCCCCTCAGCCCCTCTCCCTCAGCCCCTCTCCCTCAGCCCCTCAGCCCCTCTCCCTCAGCCCCTCTCCCTCAGCCCCTCTCCCTCAGCCCCTCCTCCCTCAGCCCCTCCTCCCTCAGCCCCTCCTCCCTCAGCCCCCTCAGCCCCTCCTCCCTCAGCCCCTCCTCCCTCAGCCCCTCCTCCCTGGGCCCCTCCTCCCTCAGCCCCTCCTCCCTGGGCCCCGGGTTCCCGCACTGACCGGGCGGGCGCTCTCCCAGGCAGGCGGAGCTCACACAATGAGTGCAGAGCCCAGCGCTGGGCACGGGCGGGTGCTGGGCCCGCTTCGCCCTCTCCTCCCCGCCGCCAGCCCTGCCAGGCCCCCGCCCCGGCTCCCTTTCTGGCCGGGACCCTGCAGACCAGCCCCCGTGCTAGGCAGGGCTGGGCCTCTCGGGGTCTCCTGCAGGAGCCGGAGGGTGAGGGTGCAGAGTCAGCAGTTGGGGGATTGGGGCCATGCTAGCCCGATTAGAAGGGTGCCCCCGTCCTTGTCTCCGATTGGCTCCTGGGCACCCCGGCACCCAAATCCCGCTAAGCGCCCACAGGCCTGACCCGCTGGGGGAGCCGGGCCATTGCTCGCACGGTCCGGCCGGAGGGTGTGCCGGGCGTGAGCCTGGCCTGGGAGCCCCGTCCGGACGCCCTGACCGGTCCTGGGCCGCCGCCATGGGGGCTGGGGCCAGCGCCGAGGAGAAGCACTCGCGGGAGCTGGAGAAGAAGCTGAAGGAGGACGCTGAGAAGGACGCCCGCACGGTGAAGCTGCTGCTGCTGGGTAGGGCGTGGGCCGGGGCTGCCCCGTCAGAGGCCTGGGGCCGCCTCCCTTCTGGGCAGAGAGGGAGCCCTGGCCAGCCCGATCGCGGCACCCTGGCTCCCACAGCTGGGCATGCCGTGGACCCCCTCCGGAGAAGTGGGCGCTGGGCACACGTCCGCTCTGGCTGGGGCACGGCTCAGAACCCAGGGCCTCCTGGGAAACCCCAGGACAGGGCGCCCGGGGAAGGAGTCTGTGCTCCCGCCTCTAGAACCCAGAGCCACGCACAGAGGCCCGGGTTCCAGAGCTTCGTTGTAGGCGGACCTGCAAAGCCGCTCAGGGGAGGCCTGTGCGAGGCCCAGGGGGACCCATAAGCAGGCCCGCGGCCCCAGGCAGCGAGGGGACAGGGTGGACCAGTGCCCCCAGGCCTCTGCCACTCCCCAGGGGGAGAGATGCTTTGAGGGGTGCAGGCTCCACCCAGGCTCTCCAGGGTCCAGAGACTAAGCCAGAAATCCCATTAACTGTGCCCAGCGCCCTGGCAAGAACAGGCTTACGGGGGCTGTCAGCTGTCTCCCCACCCAGTCCCCGCCACCCCCGCCACCCCGCCCCCCCAAAAGGCGCTAATGCCCTCTGGGCCTCAGGGACACACTCCCTGCCCCAGCGGAGAAACGGGGCTGACCCGGCTCCGATAACCCCGTGCTGCGGTACCAACTATCTCCACAAGGTGGCGCTCCCGGCTTAGTTTTGGGTCTCAAACGAATAGCCCGCGTAAGCCTGGGTTTCTGGGTTTGGGGGTGGCCCGGCCCAGCTGAGGTCGTGGGTCCCCTCCACCAGACTTTACAAACGTCTTCCTGCCAGGGTGTCAGGGCCCTACTTTGGGCGTGAGGGGGAGCCAGGTGGGCGCTCTGGGTCGGCCTAGCCGTCTTGCAGGCCTGGTGGCAGGGGTGGGAGTGGGGAGGGAGGGGGAGATACGGTCAGCGCGGCTCAGAGGCCGGGCTTCCCTTCCAGGGGCCGGCGAGTCGGGGAAGAGCACCATCGTCAAGCAGATGAAGTGAGTGTCCCCCGGGGAGGCCGCGGGCTGGGGCGGGGCGTGCGCGAGGGGCCTGTCCTTCCCCCGCGCGGCCGCGAGGAGGCGCTGAGCCCGGCGCGCCCGCCGCAGGATCATCCACCAGGACGGGTACTCGCTGGAGGAGTGCCTGGAGTTCATCGCCATCATCTACGGCAACACGCTGCAGTCCATCCTGGCCATCGTGCGCGCCATGACCACGCTCAACATCCAGTACGGCGACTCCGCGCGCCAGGTGCGCGGCGGGGCCGCGGGGGCCGGGGCGGCGGGGCGGGGGGGGCTCCGCGGACTCGGGGCGCAGGACCGGGCCCAGCCCGGGTCACGACCCCCCCCGCCCGCCGTGTGCCCAGGACGACGCCCGGAAGCTGGTGCACATGGCGGACACCATCGAGGAGGGCACGATGCCCAAGGAGATGTCGGACCTGATCCAGCGGCTGTGGGAGGACGCGGGCATCCAGGCCTGCTTCGAGCGCGCCTCGGAGTACCAGCTCAACGACTCGGCGGGCTAGTGAGCGGCGCGGGGCGCGGGGCGGGGGCCGGGCCGCCGCCCGCACCCACCCCGCCGCCCGCACCCACCGCCGCGCTCTCCGCAGCTACCTCTCCGACCTGGCGCGCCTCGTGACGCCCGGCTACGTGCCCACCGAGCAGGACGTGCTGCGCTCGCGGGTCAAGACCACCGGCATCATCGAGACCCAGTTCTCCTTCAAGGACCTCAACTTCCGGTACCGCCCGCTGCCCCCCGAGCCCCCAGCGCGCCCCAAGTCAGCGCCCGAGCCCGTCTCTAGGCGGGACCCGCCCCTCCGAGGCCTCGCCCGCGGCCCGCCGGCCTGGGAGCGAGGGGAGGCCTGGGGGCGCCGCCGGGGCCCGGGGCTCGGGTTCAGGCGCCGCCTGCCCGCCGCCCGCAGGATGTTCGACGTGGGCGGCCAGCGCTCCGAGCGCAAGAAGTGGATCCACTGCTTCGAGGGCGTGACCTGCATCATCTTCATCGCGGCGCTGAGCGCCTACGACATGGTGCTGGTGGAGGACGACGAGGTGGTGAGTGCCCGCCCGCGGGCCGAGCGTGCGGGGCCGCCGCGGCCCCGCGGAGGGGTTCGGGGTTCGGGGTTCGGGGTTCGGGGGGGCTGGCTCTAAGCCGACCGCGCCCCCGTGCCCGACCGCGCCGCCCTCCGCAGAACCGCATGCACGAGAGCCTGCACCTGTTCAACAGCATCTGCAACCACCGCTACTTCGCCACCACGTCCATCGTGCTCTTCCTCAACAAGAAGGACGTGTTCTCCGAGAAGATCAAGAAGGCGCATCTGAGCATCTGCTTCCCCGACTACGACGGTGAGCCCGCCGGCCGCCAGGGGCGCCCTCCCCGCGCTCGCCGCGCTCCTCCCGGGACCGGCCTCGGCGGCGGGAGTGAGCGCCCCCTACCTACCCCCGCCCCCCCAGGGCCCAACACGTACGACGACGCGGGCAACTACATCAAAGTGCAGTTCCTGGAGCTCAACATGCGGCGCGACGTGAAGGAGATCTACTCCCACATGACGTGCGCCACCGACACGCAGAACGTCAAGTTCGTCTTCGACGCCGTCACCGACATCATCATCAAGGAGAACCTCAAGGACTGCGGCCTCTTCTGAGGTGCGCTGCCCCCGCCCCGTGCTCCCCGCCCCCTGTGGGGCCCCCTCCCCACGCCTCTGGGGGACCCCCGCCTCCCAGGTCCCGCCCCCGCCCCTGGCCCCGCCCCTGGCCCACAAGTCCCACCCACTTCGTCTCTGGACCAGGTCCCAGGGCCCCCGGTGTCCTTGCGTCCAGACCCACCTCCTCCATGTGCCAGCCGCAGCCCACTGATGTGGGGGCTGGGATGCTGGCAAGGTTCCTGACCGGTTGCGTGTGCTGTGGCCCCACAGCCCGGCCCCCTCACCCCAGCCTATGGCCCCACCAGCCAAACCCTGCGTCCCACTAGCTTGCAGTTCCTGCCCTCCCCTGTGGCTCCGAGTGCCCCCGAGCCCAGCACTGCCCTTCACGGCCGGCCGGCGGCACCGGCTGCAGGACCCACCGCAGCCAGCCACAGCTAGGAGCCGGCGGGACTCGGTGACTCAGCAGTGTCCGCTGGCCGGTCCTGCCCTCCCGCCTGGGCCGGGACTCACCGGTGGGTCTGGGCTCCGCCAAAGCCCTCCCTCGCCGAACGAGTGCCAGGCGTTGCGGGGGGCAGGCGGGCCCCTCCTCCGAGCGGGCTGCTTGTCATCGGCCCGGCCCGGCCTCCCGCTGCACGTGACACGCCGGACACCTGTCTGCCCCGGGGCCAGTGACTCCCGCCAGCCGCCTCAGGGGTCCAAAGTCGAAGCCAGCTCTGGCCTGGGCAGCTCCCACCCATGCGTTCGTGAGGGGCCAGGCCTGGGCCCCTGGGTGCCAGGGAGGGCCTCGTGCTGGACCCTTCCCCACTGACCAGCCTCAGAGGAGCCCCAGCCCCTCCCCCCAGCCCTGCCCCCACTGTCCTTGGACGCCAGATCCCTGCCCTGCTCGCCCGCCCGCCCGCCCGCCCACAGTGCTCCCGCCGCCGGCCAAGGGGACGATGTGTGAGGGAGGGTGCTGTTGACACCCGAGGTGGCCAATGGTCGCACTGTCCTGAGGGGCGGCTGGGGCAGAGTCCAGCTCCATCGATCAGCGGCAGAGGCGTTGGGACAGGTGGAGGCCCTGAGGGGTCCATCAGGTGGGGTGACAGGCAAACAGGTGACCCTGGTTCCTGCCAGCAGCTTCTATTCCAGGCTCACTCCCTGGCAGGAGTAACGGCCATGCCTGACCCGTCAGGGACAAAGCCCACTTTCCCTCATCCCCACGCCCTGCCTCACCAGCCACTCGCCCCTGCTGGTCCTGGGCCGGGCCTCCCAGCAGGAGCTCCCGCCCGGCTAGGCGGCGGCAGGCCTCGCACCCCGATAGATGCACTGACTAGGCCGTGGTCGGCAAGCTCAGAGTCCACAGAGCCAAACATCAACAGGACAGCGATTGAAATTTCCTGTGAGAGCCAAAATTTTTAAACTTAAACTTCTAACGCCACCTCTTCAACACAGACTCGCCCAGGCCGTGGTGCTTTGTGGAAGAGCCACACTCAAGGGGCCAGAGAGCCACAGGTGGCTCGCGAGCCGGGGTTTGCCGACCACTGCACTAGGCAATAAACCTCCGCAGGAAAATAGTTATGCATTGGCCAGGGGAGGGCCCGCTGTCCTTTCTTGGGGCGAGGGGGGTGTTAATTATCGCGAGGTGTGGGCACATATGAGGTGCCGGTGCCAGGCCGGCCATGAACACCTGGCTGCATGGCAGGGGGCTCTCAGACCAGCCTGTGCCTCTTGCTGGGGGATGGGGGGGAGCCACCGGACAGTCTTGGGTCCAGAGGGCGTTTTGAGGTGGAAGCCCATCTGGTGGCACAGCCGGGCGGATCCGGCCCAGGTGCTTGGGGGCCACCGTTCCCTGGAGAGGAGCAGGAACAGCGGGGCGTGCCAAGTGCCAGCCGGGGGCCTGGCCTGCAGAGGGCGATGGCTCTCGGGGGCCCCGGAAGCTGGGGCACCATCGCTGGGCTGGCCCGGGGGAGGCCAAGGAGCATTCCCTCTGGTGCGAAGGTGAGGCTGGGCCAGGAATGTCAATAATGAAACAATATGTTAACGCAACATTTCAAACCCAAAACGGCTGCGGAAGCCCACGTGCGGAAACAGAATTCTGAGGAATGACGTGCTGGCGCCGGGAGGAGAGCCGCCCCTCCCGTACAGGCTGCGTGCACTTTTCCTGGGTCATCTCCCGTGACTTCCGTTGGAAAACATGTGGACGTGATTGACAGCAGGTGTATTAAAATGCAAAGAATTACTTTAAGCTTAAGTGTTTCTCTTCCCCCTAAGACAGTGTGTAATTTTATCTTCCTGACTTTCGCGGGAACGTGATCCTCAGTGATCTTTTCCGGATCTGCTTCTAGAAAAAAGAATCATTAAAACTGTTGACGAAAACACACGCAGGGGCGCACGTGTTTCCTGGGGCCGGGTCCCTGGGGAAGACGTGCCCGCGTTACCCCGTGGGGTCAGCATCCGCAGGAGCGGGGCTCAGGGGCAGCATCCACATCTGCAGGCCTCGTGCGCGTGACGCCCCCCACAAGCTGGGGGCACAGAGGAAAGGGGGGGGGCTGGTGCCCAGGCCTGCAGCCACGGGAAATGCCCGCCAGGAGGCGCTGGTATTGGAGCCGGGGCAGGGCCCTGAGCCTGCGGCCGGGGGGGGGCTGAGGGGACAGGGAGGGGCCTGAACCTGAGCACGGGGTTGGGAACGAACACGGGGAGGTTAGGGAGTCCAGGATGGACACGTGGGCGCCACGCTGGTGCTGCTCAGAGGCCTGACGGGAAGATGGGCTCGGGCCAGAGGGCTTAAGCAGTGGTCGGCAAACTGCAGCTCTTTGGCCACCACCATCCGGCCCCACCTGGGACGTCAAGGTGCCCCGGGGCGCTCGCGGCCTTCAGCGCTGGCTGTGGCGGGACTCACCTGGCCGCCGGCGGCTGCGCAGAGATTAGCCGCCCGGCAGCCGGAATGCACTGACGTCAGGGCCCGAGGTAGCCGTGGGGCTCGGCCCTCCCGCAGGCGCTCGCAGGCCGTGTGACTCGGGCTCATTAAGCCGCTTCAGTGGCCAGGGAAGCGGGGCCAGGGCTCGGGGGAGAGAGGGCGGCACAGGCCTGGAGGACGAGAGGTCACCCGCTCTGGGGACGGGGGCTGGGGAAGGACTAGAGGGGAGGCCCCTCTCCTCCCCTGCATTGTGCCCGAGGCGGTGTCCCGGGCTCCAGGCGGGCAGGGTGGTAGGAGCTGTAGGTGGGGTCCGAACCCGGGCTCATGGAGCCTAGAAACTCCCAGCGTGACCCCAGGCCCATGGCCCGACCAGCACAGCCCTGACCCGTCCGGCTAATCCGCTCACACTCCCGTTTTCCACCCACCCCCGGCCAGAAGAGAGAGCGCCCAGAGGGGAGAGGGCACCCAGAGGCCTGAGGAGAGAGCGCCCAGAGAGGAGAGGGCACCCAGAGGGGAGAGAGCGCCCAGAGGGGAGAGAGCACCCAGAGGGGAGAGGGCGCCCAGAGGGGAGAGGGCACCCAGAGGCCTGGGGAGAGAGCACCCAGAGGGGAGAGAGCACCCAGAGGGGAGAGAGCGCCCAGAGGCCTGGGGAGAGAGCACCCAGAGGGGAGAGAGCACCCAGAGGGGAGAGAGCGCCCAGAGGGGAGAGAGCACCCAGAGGGGAGAGGGCACCCAGAGGCCTGGGGAGAGAGCACCCAGAGGCCTGGGGAGAGGGCACCCAGAGGGGAGAGGGCACCCAGAGGGGAGAGAGCGCCCAGAGGGGAGAGGGCACCTAGAGGGGAGAGGGCGCCCAGAGGGGAGAGGGCGCCCAGAGAGGAGAGGGCACCCAGAGGGGAGAGGACACCCAGAGGCCTGGGGAGAGAGCACCCAGAGGGGAGAGGGCACCCAGAGGGGAGAGGGCACCCAGAGGCCCGAGGCTGGACGGTGGGGGACAGAAGGCGAGCAGCATGGGACTCATGGGAAGAGCGACCTCCCCCGGTGGTGGCTTCTCTCTCCCAGGTGACCTTCTATCTGCGTGTGGAAGGATGAGCAGGAGTTTGCTCAGGAGGAAGGTGGTGGGGGACCGGGAGGAAGTGAAGGCAGAAGTGCGAGTGGCTGCCGCTGGGCCTGCAGGTGGAGAGGCCAACTGGGAGGGGGCAGGGAGGAGAGGGTGCCTGGGGGGTCCTGTGGGCGGGGCTCTGGGGGGATGGGTGGGGTGAGGAGGGGCCTCACTGGCAGACAGGGTCTGGGCTCACTGTGTGGCTGGTGGTGGCAGGGAGGGTGGCATGGTGGTGGCAGGGAGGGTGGCATGGTGGTGGCAGGGAGGGTGGCATGGTGGTGGCAGGGAGGGTGGCATGGTGGTGGCAGGGAGGGTGGCATGGTGGTGGCAGGGGAGGGTGGCATGGTGATGCCAGAGGAGGGTGGCATGGTGGTGGCAGGGGAGGGTGGCATGGTGGTGGCAGGGGAGGGTGGCATGGTGGTGCCAGGGGAAGATGTCACCCAGAGGCCACAGGACATGGCTGAAGAGGGAGCAGGAGAGCGAGGGGTCCAGACCCAGGAGGGCTGAGTAACCCTGGGACCAGAGTGCTGCCTCAGGGCCTGCAGGCTCTGGGGGGAGATGGGGGGGGAGGGGGCTGGGCTGAAGGCTGAGATGGAGCCCTAAGCTCCGCCCCGCCTCCACTCCAGGCGGCTGCCCCACCGGCTGCACGGACAGACGGCCACTCCCTCCGGCCCTGGGAGAGGGCCCGGCGGTGCTGCCCACCCTGGCTGCCAGCTGCCCGGCTCCGCGCGCTGGGCTGGGCTGGGAGAGCGGGCAGGTGGCGGGAAGGCTGGGCTGTGTTTGCCCTGGCCCCGGCCCAGGCCCAGCATCAACAAACAGGCGCCTCCCCCCGCGGCCTGGCCGGGGACCCCACATCAAGCCGCCTGGGCCTCCCACGGCAGCCCAGCCAGCCACCCCCGCTCTCCACTCGGGACTGAGGCCCTAAACACCACATGCTGAGTGACCTTGAAGCCGGGCCTGGCCCCTCCGAACGGCCGGCAGAAGCGGCGGCCCTTTGCAAATGGCTCCCGGCAGCACAGCGTTCTGTGGGAGATGGCCAGGCCAGCACCCCTGGCCAGAACCGCCCCACGTGAATCTGCCCCCTCCCCCCCGGCAGTCCTCACGCCCCTGGGAGGTGGAAGAACTGGGATCCCTCGTGACCAGTCACCTCTGACCTGGGGATCCCACCAGCTCCAGACCCAGGGGAAAGCCAGCCCCTTGGACCTGCAGGCTAGGGAGGGGGGAGGTGTCAGCCCCGGCCCCTCCCGAGGGCCTGTCTGCAGCCCGCCCAGGCCTCTGGCGCTCCAGCCTCAGCTTCCCCAGCCCCGGGCTCACTCCCCTCCCCCCCTCAGGCTACGGAGCCACTTCCTGGAACTCCTGGGGACACTGAGGCACACAGGCTTGGCTGTGGCGCTGTGAGTCAGTGGGAAGAGACTCAGGAAGTCCTGACTCCCAGCCAGGAGCACCGGGTCAGGAGGGGGCCCGGGCACAGACACCCAGGCGGGGCCCGGAGGCCACGGGACTCACAGGGCCAAAGCCAGAGGCTTCTCGGCCGGACAAGCTGCTGGGGGAACGCACCCCCAGCTCACCTCCGAGGTCCAGGCCTCCCCCCACTCCCTGCCCTCCTCCGGCACCAAAGTCGTGTGGGAAGCAGGTAAGGGTGGTATGGGACCCCCCAGGCCACCCCCAAACCCCTTGTTCCAGGGCACCGAGTCCCAGCCCACTTCCCGTGGGCAGCCTGACAGCTGTCTCCCTCAGAAAGGAAGAAATGGGACCTGGCCAGGGAGGCCGGCGAGGCGCAGCCAGGCCCCAGCCCAGCGTGGCTACCTCCGTGCCCGGCTCCTGCCCCATCTGCTCAGCCTCAGCCGCGTCTGCCTGTCTGGGGTGAAGACAGAATTGATGCAGGGAACTCCCCCCCCCCCTGCACCCCTGCCCCACCTCTGCTGGGCGAGGGTGAGGAGGTGGGGAGCCCGGTGTCTGCGAGCCCCATTCAGGCTTCTCGCGCCGCCCAGGTGCCCCCCCACGCGGCTGGAGGGCCCCTGGGGCTCAGGGAGGCGAGGGCAGCGCCTTCCGGGGTGCAGGGGGCTCCCAGGGATCCGTTTCGGACGGGGCATTCCCGCTGGCCCCCAAGACTCCAGTGCGCCCCCCGGACCCGCGGCTCTCCTCCCAGGGCTCCCTCCGCTCCCGCCGCCCGGGGCCCCGGCCCGGCCTCTCCGGCCTCTCCCGGCCGCCCCGCCCCGGGCGCGGGGATAGGCGGCGGGGGGCGGGCCGGGGGCGGGGCCGGCGCCTTCATCCCCCGCCGCCCCGCGTGCGGCCGGGCAGAGGCAGCGGCAGCGGCCGGAGAGCGGAGCAGCGCGTCCCCGCCGCGAAGCAGGTACCGCCGCCCCGA